CATTCACAGACTGGAAAGGGGCCAATCAGCCTTTTTGTAGTTCCATCTGGGTAGGCTAGATGACATAGAGAGACAGACGGTCCAGTATGATGAGGACTGGACGGTGATCACTGCCTCCAAGTTGATCAGTGACTTTCCTCTGGACATGTCCGTGTATGTCGTCAGTACAGAAGGCAAGGTCAGGCGTTGATGTCGAGTGCCATCTTCTCGAGTAAAAAGTTGGGGGATCCTCCGGCTGATTGATGAGGTTCAGCCTGTTGTCATCCTGCCAGGTCTCCTATTCCTCTCCTCGGTTGTCCATGTGGTCATATCCCCAGCTTTGTTAGTGACTGTTGAAGTCTCCAAAAACCATGAGGTTTGTTGCTTCCATTGGGATACTGCATAGGGAAAGAGCTTTGTCATTTGGAGAGTACATATTCACAGGAGTCATTTGAAAGTCGTTCAATCTGAGGCTCAGCACTTGGAATTCCGAGTCATCCATATGCATTTTAGTCTGGATAGCATTGATGTTGTTCCTGACTAATGTCATGATGCCTCCTTTCTTTCTGCCAACCCTGTCGCTTCGGAAGCACTGGTATCCTCTGATCTTAAAGGATTTAGCTGGTTGCAGGTGTGTTTCCTGAATGCAACAGACATTGATGTCATTCTCATGAAGGAAGTGCTGAAGTTCAGTCTTTTTGTTGAAGACTCCTTCTGCATTCCAATGCATCACTTTGAAGTGTTGCTGTTGGACTTTCCTCCTCCTTGGCTTGTTGTAGCCCTTTGGTCTCCTCTTGGCATGATGGAAGGAGTGACCCCCAGTAGCTTTGGGTGGACTCTGTTGAGGCTCAGAGCCCGGCACTGTATCTCCCTGGAGGGATTCCAAAGATCCAGCACCACATCGATGAATACCATTGTTTCGAGTAGTCATAGCGTTGGTTACGTGATGCAGTGGTTTGTTAGAGAGTGCCAATGGCCCAGCATCTCCGATTTCAACTCTCTAGGTTGGTTAAGGTTACCTCACACAAAGCCCTTGCCGTTCCCAACGACTGACCACAAGGCAGTGGTGATTTTGAAAGGGTTGTCTCCCTTGGTTTGGTATAAGAGTTGTCCTTCTCCACCGTTCCCATCTAACTCAAGCTGTTGTGCTCAGAGACCACTGCTGGATTGCCGTTACACCGGTTATGATGGTGCTCGTCGTTCCAGCTACTGTCACCCAGGTTGTGACAGGCCATTTGTTAATCCACGAGGCTGTGGAGCTATTTTGACCCATAGCTGGGTTCTAGGTAAGCAGGCTTCAGGGCATATCCACACACCGGTGGGCCATGCAAGCCATGCCTTTAGGGGCCTAGATCCTCCAAGACCGAGTGGTTTAGCCTGGGGCCACAAGGTGCCCAGTTTCCGTTTGCCACCTCGGGGAGGTCCCATAAATGGGCCACAACGGTCTTACTGCATGAGAGGCTACAACTGGCAAGGAAGGCTTACAAAAGGCTCCCCGGTTCCCACTAGGTGGTAGCCAGCGGTGAGGCTGTAAGCTGTAAGCGAAAAACACGAAGCTACTCACTACAACAACACGCAGTTGCGCATCAAAGCAGTCATTACGGCAAACATATACTCTAGTAAGAACTATAATTATATTTCGTTACAATGACTGATGTTATGTAAACAAAATAAAAGTGGATTGATCTACAATTACGAATTTCAAATATTGATAAAAACAAAAAAAATGCATCTTTTGGATTGTCTTACAAAATATTTCTTGAAAAAAAAAGTTGATCTAGTTCTTAGTGATTATTAACTTTATATTAAGAGAAATGATATTTTGTTCTAGAACATTTTATTATCTGCATATGAGCCGTGTCACGACAAAACCAACGTAATGCGTTTGCGACCAGCATGAGACCAGCCTGCGCACCCGCGCAGTCTGGTCTGGATCCATACTGCTCGCTTACAAACCCTATTACAAGTAGAGAAACTGATAGTGAACAGCATGGATCCTGATCAGACTGCGCGGATGCGCAGGCTGGTCTGGATCTATGCTGGTCGCAAACCCATTATGTTGGTTTGGTCGTGACGCGGCTCATATATTGAAATACAATATTGGATCTGGTATCTCACATTTACCAACAACAAATTATTTAATTCGTTCGTAGTTTTTTTGTGTGAAAAATATGATACTAAAATAAAAATCAAGCGTAAATTGCATGCTTTCAATAATTAAACTAATTCACTTGAATCGGGCTTGAATCGGTAATTTAACACTGCATCAAAGATATCAGGCGTTGTTATTACTTTTATTTTTACTTTGTGTGTTATGGGCCTCAAATGTTTTCTTGTTGTTTTCATTTCTAACAAACTACTAAATTTGATTTATTATCAAAAGATCTTAAAGCATTTCTTTATTTTTTTATTATTGGAGGTCAGTGGGGATAATCTAACTTTTATGATGTAAAATGTTTTTATAATGTTGCTTTACTGTTATCAGTAGGAACTATATCAATTGTATAGGGATAATGATACTTCAAGTATATACAATATATAGTCTCTTATAATTCTATTGTAGAATGGTCATATGTATACATTTTTATCAATTCTAATATGATTATATATATATATATATGTATGCATTTGAAAGTGACTGAAATAAACTAATAAACTATCTACTTATTGTAAAGCCATAGCAAAACAACGTTTAATAAAAAAAGAAAAAAGAGTAATCATTTGAATATTTTAACATACAACAATTAAAGGGTAATTATTCTTCTTCACCATTTTCAAAGTTTCACCTTCAAACCTCAAGTTTTTATTTAATATAAACTTGTAAATAAGGTATTTAACACGACTATGAAAAAATAATAGCATTCACTGAGATATAAATATATCCAGTATGAAAGAGATAAGATGTTCGCGGCTGTCAAGGAGGATGGTGTAAACAGATGAAGAATGTGTTCTATCAGCCAATGTACCGCCTCCTATACTTACATATATTGAATTTATTTTTGTTGAATATTTGAAAATTGTCGGCATTATAGATTGATCAGTTTTGATGTGCGTATTATAATTCAGATAAAAAACATGAATAGGAGTAGATCTTTCCCAGGTAAATATTAATCTATTATTATGTTTTATTTTTCATAACAGCGGAAATCTTTATATTTGTAGTTTTATTTATTTATTTATTTATTTATTTATATTCAATGTATCAGCACTTCTCTGCGATTTTGAAATTGAGAGTCTTTTATAACTGTTTTATTTATTCATAAAATAATTGAACTGTGTATTTACAACACTACGTAGGGACAATAAGCAATGGAAAAAAGTAGATAAAAAATGGAGAACTGATATTCTACCAGTATCAATTCATTGTCTAATGGTGTGTCATAAAGATGTTAACGTTTCCGACATGTATATAGATTGTCTCTGGTAAACCGTCCTCAATAAATTTCGTATTTTACATTTATACCATAAGAACTAATTATTTTCAGGACAACCGGTGAGTATAACAACGGCTGTTCAACGATTTAACCGACGTAAATACGGACAGGATGACGTCACTAACTCAGATAAACATAGCACACAGACATATGCTTCCGGGGGGAAGGAATTAAGTCCGGTAGTGTCGGAAAGTACACGACGAAGACAAAGGTTTTCCAAACAGTCTCAAAACCGGAACCGGAAGTACAAGGAAACAAAAATGGCCGACTCGTTATCTGGGGCAGATATACCCAAAATAACACGAGAGCTAACATTTTTCCTGCCCAATTCATGGGAATTTGACAAGCCTGCAAAGGATCAGGAAGATACTTTGCAGAAACCTGAGCCAGTGGCTAATTGTACGGTTCACGTTACAGAAATAGACATTAACATTTCAAAGAAAAGAGATGTCACTCATACCAATGCTGTATCTAAATATAAATATTGAATTTCAGTTCAGAAATATGAAAACTGACACATATTGTATATAAAATTGTTGATTATTAATGACATTGATTTAATTTGCATTTGAAGTGTGTTCAATTAACTAAACACTTGCACTTTTTATTATTGCTATTGAAAGATGTATTTATGTGTTTGGAACTTGAGTGACACTTGGTAGTTATATTTGAGTTTAATGTTGAAAAACTTGTCGTAACGTATATTTAGCTTGTTTTAAAGCTGCATGTCTCCAGATGATCCAACATACTTCAATAAAATCAAACTTGAGAAAATTGTACTATATGATATTAAAGGGACTCCGCTGAGGTTTTTTGACATGATGGGACTGAAAATATTTTCCAGATAAATATACCGTTTGATGTAGGTTTAGACCACTAGTCTGTGTGCAAAATTTCATATCATTCGCGCACTTCGTTTTTCCAGAATAATTATTTCTGTTTAAAGTGCCCCAGCTCATTTATGTAAGAAATTCAAATGTTATGTTTTTAGGCTCTTAAACCTCAGTGGAGTCCCTTTAAGATAAGTAAAAAGTTTTAAGTAATAATATGCATGTTATGTACGATTAATGACCTGTTTTGCAGTATTTATCACCATAATTATACTGCGAGACCAGCGCAGAATATTTTCTCTAAAACACTATACAATATGCATGTGCAAACAGTTAAAACTAGTTTATAGATATCTATTTTTAAATTTTTGATTTTAACAATTTAATAATGACTGAACATATTTTATAAATATTTCTCCAGGAAACACTATATCTACATGAGAAAAAATACGCACGTACCATCGACTATTTGTTAGGCAAATATTTACCTTTTCATTTAACCTTTAACCGTTTGGGGTTCTTCTTTCAACCAGTTGATAAAACTTCAGAATACGCGTGTTGTTAAAATAAAAACTGCATATCTTTATGCAACCTTACAAACGTAACATGTATACAATTTTTAGGAATATGTAAAAAAAGAACATTGAGCTATATATAAATAACAAAACAATAAATTCGTAAATAATAGAACGGGTTTTGTATGCAAATTAAAGGGATGGTATCTAAACAACCATAGATGTCAATATGCGACGTTTATTTATAATTGTAGTCGAATACGACAAACATATCAATTGTAGAATATTGTAAATACATTTAACACCATCTTGTGTGTTGTCATTCCAAATTTTTGTAGCATTAAAGCCACAAAGATACTTCTTATCTTGTATTGTCAACTGCCATCTGTAGACCGAGGAGTCATGCTATATTTACCCCTAAATAGTAACGCGTCACGACAAAACCAACATAATGGGTTTGCGACAAGCATGGATCCAGACCAGCCTGCGCTCCGCGCAGTCTGATCAGGATCCATGCATGCTGTTCGCTATCAGTTTCTCTACTTGTAATAGGGTTTGTAAGCGAACAACGTGTATCCTGATCAGACTACGCGGATGCGGATCCATGCTGGTCGCCAACCCATTATGTTGGTTTTGTCGTGACGCGGCTCATTTATGGCACATCCAATTATGACAGCGAGACATTCTAACACTGGAAATGTAAGTGACTCATTTATTCACCAGTAAGTCTCTCCTCTTCCACTGGACTTAATCCTCGCCTTAATCCTACTGCCAAATCAATGTACATCTGAAAATATACAACAGCATAACACTTACCTAGTTCAAGACGGAAGTAGCATGATTTTTATAGAAGTAATTTCCATGCTCACAATTCCATGTTTCACAAATAAATAGCGTTGGACTGTAAAACGGGCGACCCGGGTTCGATTCCCGGACGGCGTATTTCCCTTTCGTTGTGACTGATCATGAAATCTTTTCTACGGTCATTCGCACTGTACCTCTGCTCTGGTATGTACAGAAGTTCCAGTTCCTTGCGAAAATGAAGGCAACTAGTACTGGTAAACTTCTTGATAGCCTGCCCAGGACCGATGCGGTGGCTGAACTGTGCTCTGGTTAATTCAATGTGGCTGTCGTGATCCGGAGAGAAAACTACCAATACTACCACCAATAATATTACTCTCTTCCTCCACCAATAATATTACTCTCTTCCTCGTGCAGAAAAGTTGCCATATGACCTAAACATTGTTGGTGAGAAATGGTGAACTGGTTAAGTTGAGACCGTGGCTTGGGTAAGATAAACTTGTGCATTCATTAAGTCCAATTAACACATACAATTAACAAGAGATAGGTTGACAAAATATACTTATTCATTACTTGTTCTGTTTCTCTCTGTATAATTTCATCTAACCTTCCAACAAGGGTTTTGAACACAGGTCTGTGATCGGGCGTATATTTCCAACATTCTACCATAAGTCTGTATCTGTTTAAATATTCAATACATTTAAAATATGATTTTTCTGAAAAACATTGAATAACTTTATTATTTCATAAATCTTTGCATAAATGCATACCGAAAAAATATATTTCTTTAAATCTATAACTAGAATACACTGATGCCAGTTTAGTAACGTTATGAACAAAAACTATATTCCACATAATAAAGGGTTGATGCACCTTTTCACGTTCATTAAAATCTGCAGAAGCACGAGGGCGTACGCATTTAAAGCCCGTGCAATCAAGAAGAGGGATTCAATAAGTTGGAGGTCTTCTGTAGATATTAATGCAAGGAAAGACGTGCATTAGCGCTATTCTTAAAGAAAATGTTTTACATGACGCCCTGAGTCACTCATATTAAACAACGTTTACCAACGGTGCGTTGTAGGAGCACATTTGTCTCGGAGCACATTTGTCTTACGTAAGACCGATGCGGTCGCATTTGTCCCACATGATACAAATGAGACCTCAAATGTCTACCCTAAAAAACTCATTTGTGTGACAAATGTGCTCCGATCAAGTTTTTTAAGGGACAAGAAAGCACATTTGTCTCATGTGTTTTAAAGGGACAAGAAAACACATTTGTCTCATGTCATTTTTTATGAATTATTTGTCACACATTTCCCCACGTCAGAAATTCTTATTTTTAGAATCGAGGTTCGCTGTTTTACCTCATGTCAAGTGTAATCATCAATAGGGTTGCTTATGCTTTCTTTATGAAAACCTAAAGTGAACTGTTAATTATAATATCTTTAATTCAAGTAATTGATTGCCTTAACCTGAAGACGTAGACTGAAACATACTAAATCCCGTTCATGATAGTACAATGGTGACAGCGCGATGGCAGGATGGTACGTTGATGAAAACGCGATAGTGCGATGGTGAAAACACAATGGTACGAACGTGAAAAAACGATTGTTCGATTGCGAAACAAGTAAGGCTCGGTGATGAAAACGTGATGGTACTATGGTGAAAGACCATGTTACGAAGGTGAAAATACGATGGAACGATATGATGAAACTGCGATGGAATGATGATGAAAACGCGATATTATTTTCTCTATCGTGTCATCGCATCATCGTGATTTCAACATCGTGCCATCGTGTTTTAATCATCGTACCATCTCATTTTCACCTTTGTACCATTGTGCACAGCTGGTCATGGAGACAAAAATGTTTCTTATGTCCAACACCGTAATCGGTTGATACTGAATGATACAATATCGTGACTCGTTTCGCATCTCGCCGAATGCTCGCGTCTCGCTTCGCATCTCGTTCGTCGACGCGAGACAAGAAATTGGTTCCAGGTCATATACCGCTAAGTAGTATTCCCTTTATAATCTACATAAAATCACTTTAAGGCCCATTATGCCTAAAAATGCTTTTATTTGTTTTTCTCAAAATTAAAGCTTTTTTTATTTTTGATATACTTTTATAGCTCTAAAAAGATACTTATTGGCTAATTACCTGAAGCATTTTTTCATCTGCTGTTTTTTTTGCAGTTTGTACAGTTGAAGTGATTTTAGATTTTACTTTGTTTACATTTTGCTGCTTTTATAACGCATTATTTCACATTTATCGCGAATTCCTTTGGGTTACAAGCATCTAACTTCCTCAGAAATCATTATTTGAATATTAATAAATTCATACTTGCCCTATCAAAAGAAGTAAAAATTTATTCATTTCTGAAATCTCGTGATACGGAATACTTCGACATTGCGAGATCTCGTGTTACAATATCGCGCCTCGCTTCGTGTCTCATCGGAATGTCTCGTCTCGCCCGATTCTGAGTGGCCCGATATTCCATAATTATGGCATTACCTGGATTATTTTAGGAACTCATGCATGTTGTAAGTGCTTTTTCAATGGCGGATCTGAAAGCCGCAATTCTTGGAAAATGACGATTTTTATACATATATTTCTGATGAAAACAAAAGGTGTGTAATGGTCTTCTTATTTTCTTCCATAGATCATTTAAGGGCCTCCGTTTTCAAAAAACCACTTGCCCCTGACCGCTGCAGGTTCGACACATAGACGGGGCGTCGAACTATTCATGCGAGGGTCCCGGTCAGGGTCTAAATGCGGAATACATATCCATTCAAGTGCCAAAAAAAATCATTTATAAAATTTTAAGCATTAAAAATAAACGTGTCACAATTAATAAGGTTAAGAAAAGGTTTGCTGCATAAGTGTTTAGGTTCTTGATACTGCACTTGTAGAAATTTTCATTGTGACATGCAGAACAAGTATATTCTTTAATTTAATATATGGCTCCTATGCAGAGGCAGGAAGTTTTTGACTGACCGGAAGTGACCTAAAAACGGTATTATAAATACAGAAAACACAGAACAATGGCTGGTAGCCGGTATACAGATGGGCATAATTATTACCTTTTAAGAATTTGATGGAAAAATGTGAGACAAATGTGCTTCGAGTGTCCTTTCTATTGTGTGTTGAACACATCTGTCTCATTTGCAATTTGTCGCAAATATGAATGTTTACGAACACATCGGTCACACTTCGTGAGACAAATGTGCTCCGAGACAAATGTGCTCCTACAGTGCATGCCCGCAAATGAGTGTTTTTATTTCCCTAATTTTAAGCAGTGTGTATGCAAGAATATGTTATATTTTTTCGAATGTTATGTATGACACGAAGGCCTCATAGTATCAAATGAAATAAAACATAATATTGGTAAGGCGTTATATATAACGCGGAGCACAAGGCGTAATAACGCGAAAAAGGATTATAATGCCTGTTTAGCGTAATAACGCCTTTTTTCGCGTTACCTCGCCTTTTGTTTCGCGTAATTACGCCTTTTGATTCGCGTGATAACGCCTTTATTCGCGTTATAACGCCTTTGCATTTTATTCCCATTTTATTCGATACTATTAGGCTTTCATAGTATGGTATATAAATGTACAAAACCAGAGCTACATACATATCATTTGGGCAGAGTGATGGCTGGGGCATGACATATCCTGAATTGTGCATAGATATCAGCATATCCGGTAGTATCCCTGGATACGGACTGCCACCTAAAGTGTCACCCACTTCCACAAGTAATACAACCATACGCGACCAGACGTCACTTTTAGTGGTATACCTCCCTTCTATAAGCGTCTCTGGACTCATCCATTTATATGGTAGTCTCCCCTATATGTATATATATAGATTAGACGCATAAAATGTTACATACAGCAGGGTTTTTCAAATAGTTGAAAGACCCTGCATACATATTCTACAAGAATTACGTGCATATGTGACTTATATTAGATATTTATCTGATGCAACTATTCCTTTGGCTTGAATGAAATGCACGTGCATATTTCACATCGACTTATTTGGAGGGTTCATCTGCCGTTTTAGACACAGTTGGTACGGTCTCCGGGCAAGTAACCATTTTGAATCAAATCCTTAAGACGGATGATATGGAAATCCGAAAAAAAACCCAGCACAGCAATTTTGATGATAAAGCGATCATGTTCCTAGACAAATTAAAGCGGTATATGCAAGGTATTGTCAACGCCCCTATAGCAACAATATCGTTAAAATTTACCTTAAAGCAGCATGCCTCCAGATTCCTGCTTATCTTTATGAAAATTTTAAAAATGCATTTAAAAGTAAAATATTTTGAACAAAGAAAATAATTTGCATGTTGCAAACAGCATTGGCAATCCACGTAATTACCAAAAAGTGGTCGAAGTCAGTAAAAATAGCCATTACTGCTTTAGTAACGCAGTTGAAATATGGTGATAAATGCTGCAAAATTTGTCCTTAGTCGCACATAGCATATAAAACCATTTTCTCAAAAACTCAGCACAGTTTTCTCAAGGTAAATTTTCTGGATATACATGTATTTCGGCTCATCTGGAGTCATGCAGCTTTAACATAAATGAATTATAACATTATAAACAACAACTGCACATACCGCTGTTTCTTGATAATAATAGTCCGACTCATACACATCACGTGATAGGCCGAAATCGGATATCTTAGCAATCGGTCCTTTAGACAGCAAAATATTTCTAGCTGCAAGGTCACGGTGTAAAATCTGCATAAACATGGAATAAGGGATTATTAAAATGCAAGTTAAAAGTATGCGCAAGATTGATCAGTGATCAGATGTGTCACCTGATGATAGCTAATTACATGTTGCTGCTATATTGTGCAGGAGACCAAAATTCATTAACAGGCCAAAACGCGTTTTTTTTTTATTCTAGGGCCATAACTCAGCCAAAATCAGTTACGCAGAAAAGCCATGTAATATGCACAAATACACGAGATACCAATCAATTCTGTAAAGTTTAATTTTATTTGCATAAGTTGTATAAGAGAAGTAGTCCGGACAAAACTTTAAAAATAAAAGTCATTTAAGGGCCATAACTCTGACAAAAATCATTAAACTCAATAGCAGGCGACAAAAATGTATCAGGGTGAGTAAAAATACCCCCTTAACTGATACTTACTTTATTCAACTTAGACAAATTAACAATTTTGACATTAAACAGACAGTTACGTTACAGCCAAGTATACCTTTAGAGAACTTAAATAAGCCATGCCCTTCGCTATATGCCACATAAACATATAGAGCCGCGAACATTGTGACCATAGATACGACTTCTCCTCGGAACAATCCAGGTTTTGTATCACTGTACGATTGGCTTCATAATATGTCCTCAAAAAGTTCTTAAGATCGCCATCCTCAGCAAGTTCCATCACTATTGCACGAGACCCTGTAAATTATTTCAACAAGTAAGTTGAACTTTTTTTTTCCTTTTTTGGCAGTGTAAAGAAATAGCCCCGACTTTTTTGCTAGGTCATCTGCTCACAAACATTTCCGGTGTTTAGAGTTTTATGCAAACTGGCTGAATGGCTATCAAAATGCTATACTGACTTGGTTTGCATTAAACGCTTTTGATAGAAACAAATTTCACTGCTAAAAACCGGAAAAGTTCAATTTAGCAACTTTTATTGAATGTTATCTACAAGGAATATAAACATCATCATCTATTTCCAATACTATACTTGTACTAGTAATTTCATAAATATATTTTTAGGGAAGCTATAGCCTTGTATCATGTTCTAATAGTATATCGAACCATAAAATATTTGTTATCGGAGTCACGACCATAACTCTTCTTATGACACCACTACTGGTTATTATTGAAATAATTAGCAAGAACGCGTTATACACATTCGACTTTTAGCTTCAGCTCAATGTATTTTCTTGCAAAAAATGAAGAGAAGTACGCTATGAATTCAACTTGGTTTCTAACAAGTATGTTTTCATATAATCACAGTATTTTACATGTTTTAAACATTTTATTTCGCTTGCATCTATTCATTAAATAACTTGTTTACGAACTACAAATGTAATAATATGTATAATTATTCACCATTGATAATACACGATCCGTACACTTCAACTATATTTTGGTGGGATCCAACTTTCTTTAAATTTTCACATTCCTTCATCAAACTTTCTGTTTCCGTTGGATTTACATTATCTAAATAGTAAAAAGAAACTGCATCATACATGTACATACAAAAAAAAAAGGATCGGTGGCCTAGTGAGTGAGGTCTATAACTATAAACCCAGGTATCGTGGGTTCAAGTACTGCTAGACTCACGACCATGAATTCTCATATAACACCGGTACCGGTTAGTTCTATACAGCGGACTCGAAAATGGTTCAAATAAGATACAAGTTTTCTTCACAATCATGCTTTGATGAAAAATTAACATACAAAAACCATTTTTGTTAATAGGAACAAGTACCTGTTGGGGGTGTTAATAACACCAATATTAAAGTATTGCGAAAACATACCTTCTGAACTATTGGTGGAACAAGAATGTCAATGTGTCCTCTTGTAGAAAGACAAACTAGAAAGGGTACCATCAAAGAAATTCATATCATTGTTTTCTACAACACCACACCGGCTAATATAGAAGGTATTTTAACGCATTTTTTCACAAATTAATGATAGAATCGCAAACTGATGTCAAACATTTTCATGATAAATACAATATCAGCCTTTATTAAATTTATCTCTTCATATTTACAGTTTTAATGTAAACATTTTTATACCTCTGATTCTTTTGATAGCAACTTTCCTTCCAACATTGTTAAAACCAGTCTCAAAACCTTCATATACCTCACCAAACGCCCCGCGTCCGAGAAGTTTTACCAGACGAACTTTACCATACACAGTCAGTTCCGTAAATCCTACATCCTGTAATTAAAATATATAAATTGTGATAATTCAGAAAAAATGTTTTGCTCGTCTGCATCTTGTAGTTAAAACAGAACGTTATATGAAACTACCCGCCTCAGAGTTATCAACCCTTGCTTTGCTAAATATATTTAATTGACTCGTCCGTCTTTCAATCTGGACAAAATCATTCATCATTTTTAGGGAAAATTTCAAAATTTAAACTGACCGGATAGTGAACAGTGCAGACCATTACCAGACTTCCTGGATGTGTCAGTTGATCTTGATCTGGGTGATTTCAATTGCAATACAGCATATTAAAGATTTAGAAAGTACCACTTCTCTGTGAGAAGACATTTTTAAATAACTATTACATTCCACACGCGTGGTTAAGATTTCAAATCATTTACCCCTCACCGTTATGGCTTCTATAAAAATCTGGAAATTTGGATTCTTATATGTGAAAGTGATTCGGAATTGGTACGTGCTCATGCCTGAAATAATGCACGTAGGACATCTGAGGTCTTCTTCCATCAGTAAAGCAGAAATGTCGCCATATGACCTGAACAGTGTCTTAAAATCCAACAAAAGAAACCATCCACACGTGGATTCATAACTGCTAAGGTTATGTAATAGCCGCACGGTGCCCTGTTTGTGCCAATTAAAATGTTACATGTTATCATTTTGACATCACCTACCTTTTTATCAAATACTCTAAATAAAGATTATAAATTATCCCCATGAGCAAAGAACACTACCTAGTTTTCTTGCGTTTTCTTCTTCGTGAGAATGTTTGAAAATTGAAGACGTACTTGAAATATGGCAATAGCTCTGTACTTTTCTTGCCAATTTTCTTTTTTTTAATATATCTTATAACTTGTTATTCAAGTAAAACATACTGTTTGCTGCATGTCCTGTTTTACTTGGTTTCCATAGAATCGTTTAGGCGACAAAGACATTCCCGAAATATCTGTCACTGATTGTGCTCGGTAGTAGTGTCTGTTTGTCAACATCTGAAGAATAAAAAAATCACAAACTTCATTTGCTTATAAACTTCAGTTACTTAAAGACCTCAATTACTTATAAAGCTTAGTTACTTATAATCTTCAGTTGCTTATAAACATCGGTTACTTGTAAACTTCAGTGATTCATAAACTACATTTTCTTATAAACCTCAGTTACTTATAAACCTCAGTTACTTATAAACCTCAGTAACGTATAAACCTCGGTGGTTTTCAAACTTCGGTTGCTTGTTAACTTCAGTTATTTATAAACTTCAGTTTAATATAAACCTTGTATCATAGTTTGGGGACTTTTCTGTTGAAAATGTGTCCGAGTTAAATCGTATACATATACATGCACTGTGCGTTAACTGGAGTGCAGGTATTAATTACCCGCACTCCAGAGCATGCCCATTGATTGGCTCATTTTTGCTGGGGTTTCCTTTTTGTGACGGCAGAGAAAGTGAAAGCGACAGAAATTTCATATTTAGATGTTCGTTCATTTGTTACTTTTCCACGGGGTTTCATATTGTGACAACAGGGAACTTATTTTCATGTTTGACTATGTTACAAAAGAGAAAGAACATCAAAACGCTCTTTCTATTACACAGTAACATAATATTATACACTTCAGTTACCTATAACTGTTTTTTGGTGGACTAGAAATTAGTCAACCTATCACTTAGATAAAATATAGTTTTAGCTTTGGTATGAGAAGATCACGTTGAAAACAAAGTAATACAATTTATTGTCTCGTTATTGAGGCAAAATTCAGTATTTTAAGTGATTAACATTTTGAACAAATTTGATGATAATTCTAGGCACATTTTTATCCCACTGACTACACATTTAAAAAATCCCTAAAATTAAGTTGAAATTGTCAAGCAAAGTTTCAAAGAAGCTGTATGGGGGATATACTTTCATTAAATTTATATATTTCTTTGACTTCTCCGGTGTTTCAATGGACCCCGAACTTTTTTATCATCGAAACATGTCATTGGAAATGCGACAGGATGGGAAAACGTAACGCAAAACGAAAAATTGAATTAAATAAGTAAAGATACAAATAGGCTATGTATAGAAAAATCAGCAATACACTTTTATTAGCAAATGCAGTCAGTATATATACCTTGAAAGGTTTCCTTTTCTTTTTGGCGTTTTTCTTCATGAACCAGACAAATGACGCACCCACAACGCTTGAAACACCTACACCGAGTGAAACACACACAACAATTTTCACCACCAATGTCATATCATGCAATACTTCCGGTATGATGCTATCTATAAATAGAACATTTACCCTCACCATAAATGATATCTTAAATAGACGTGTCCATGTTCAATATGGTTTAAACCATTCATCATTCCTGGGGGAAAAATCGAAAATATTTTGTCTGAATAGGACCAGTGCAGACCAAGATCAGACGTTCAAGCTGATCTTGGTTTGCACGGGTCACATGGCTATATTTAGTTTGTGCCAGAAGGCTAAGGGCTATACATATTTATTTATTTCAACACGATTATGTCATAAACTTTGAGATAACCCCCCAACCCCCTGAGTCCGAATCCTGCAACTAACCAGAGCTGACGTCGTTAAGAAACATGAAGGCTTGATGACACGACAGACACATTAACCAATAGGCAACATCCTCTGTTTGGAACGAAATTGATTACTTACTGCATATATTTGTTCTTTTTCAACTATTACAAATAATTTCCTTTAACGTCCAGCGTTTGCACCATGTGCACCTACAATATATATCACAGTTAAATTTTATTTCGTTATGTGTTATTATATTTAACATACTTTCTCAAGTTTTTAATACATGTAATATAGATCTAATGAATAATAATTTTTAACAAAGTTTGTCATAATATGATTGCTGAGTACCTTACAGGATGCTATTGTAGTAAACCGCTGTTAAACTTATTTAGGATGAGACAATAAGCCCTGTCCAATATAGGTTTTGCAAAACAAAATCTGAATAGTATTCAACAACTTATAATGAAATATTTATTTCATGCCAATTTCATTTTTATTTCAATTCTTAAGGTGAAAATACATTAAATTAAAGAAAACACCCAAAATGTGTTTTTTATTATAAAAAAGGAATTGCTTCTTAGGATTTGATATAGAATGTTTGGACTCGGAATAGGGAAACGATACAGTACAATATGCATTTGATACGGCCTTTTCTAAACTCGGGGAAATGCAAAGGTAAATTTGAAAATGATTATTTTTAGAATACCACGTGGTGCAAACGCTTGAAGTTTATTGATTACATTTTATAACGTGTGAAATAATTTCTCTCATTTCACACGTAGCAATATCATATTTTCTTGTTCAAAAGTCGAAAAATAAAATAAAAATTTACCACAATCCAAACTTTCAACACTAAGCCGTAGCATGCTGATATTGTAGGGGATATTACATGAAATATTGTCTGATGCTGTGTATGCCTGCACAAACTGTATCATCCACTTCAGAGAACAGTCACATGTCCATGGATTTCCAGCCAGCTGGGTCTCGTTTTCGTGCCTGTATATCAAAATAAAAACAACAAAAACAATCATCATCATTAGAATCATCATCATCATCATCATCAACAACAACAACAACAAATGATTTGTACAACGTTTATAATAATCCATCTCCACTACATTGTGAATATTAGACTTTCATAACATAATATTGCTGATTATATGTTTTTCAATATCATTCCAATAAGCCACCGAGAATGGTTTATAATAACAGAATTATATATACATGTAGCATGGACGTTTTGTTTCAACGGAAAAACAACAGCTAAATATTACCACATTTCAATCATAGACTGGCTCGTAATTTCCTGAATTCATTCATAAACCAGTACATAAGATTGCTTAAAAGATTTTGCCATTTTCTCTCTTATAAAATAACGGTAATATCGGTGAAAGGTAAATATGAAGATAAAATAGTGTCGCCATCTTAATCGTAAAATCACGTGTGTATAAAGAATAATCTTAATTAAAGTCTCATCCATATGTAACAACATATGAAATAGTTTAATTACATAATTTTACAAGATAACACAAGAGGCAAATTACGTAAAATAAATGCTCTCTGAACAGAACAAGCAAGTCGGATTAAAGAGACTCCACTTTGATCTTTTGACAAGGTGGGACTAAAAATAACTTTTCGAGATTAATGTTCTATTTGATAAAATTCTAGACCAATAAATTGTATGCAAATCTTCAGAGCATTCGATCCCTTCGTATTTCCAGAATAAATATTTGAATTGTGAAAAATGATGCAAAATTGAAAGCGTTGCAATTGGTTGTATTTCTTTTCTATCTTTTGCATATCTATTTGTTTAAAGCGTCCCAAAAGATCTATATAAGAAATTGACATTTTATGTTTTAGGCCTTTGGACCACAGTGGAGTTCCTTTAAGACCGAATAGCTCAAGGCAAGATGGGATAGAAGTGAAACTAATACAGACATGTAATCATTATAACCACGATAAAAATCTTGACAAAACCCTTCATCATTTTAGGGGAAAAAAATCATAATTTATACCGACTGAATAGCGATCAGTGCAGGCCATAATCAAAAGCCACGGACATCATATGACCAACGTGTCATGAAGGACATCAACATGTCATTGTAATAGTAATAGAAAGAGCACCGAAACACGAGGCTATCTGATTTGTACGAGGGGGCGTAGCCCCCGAGTATAAATCAGATTGCCGAGTGTTTTGGTGTTCTTTCTCTTTTGTATCATAGTCAAACATGACAGCACGTTTCCTGTTGTCATAATACGAAACCCCAGAAAAAATGAACCAATGAACGAGCATTTGAATATGATATTTCTGCCCCTTTCCCTTTCTCTGCCGTCACAATAAGTAAACCCCAGCAAAAATGAACCAATCAACGGACATTATCTGGCGTGCGGGTAACTGATACAAGATAAAATTTGTATCATAGTTTGGGGACCTTTCTGTTGAAAAAGTGTCAGAGTTAAATCGTATACATATACATGCACAGTGCGGTAACTGGAGTGCGGGTATCAGTTACCCGCACTCCAGATAATGCCCGTTGATTGGTTCATTTTTGCTGGGGTTTACGGAATGCCGTAAGGGCCATCGCCTATGAATGTGTTAGTCTGAAACGCGAATGTCGATAGTACGATGGTGAAAACACGAAATCACGAAACTACGATGATGAAAACGCGATAGTACGATGATGAAATCACGACAGTACGATGGTGAAAACGCGATAGTACGATGATGAAAACACGACAGTACGATGATGAAAACGCGATAGTACGATGGTGAAAACGCGATAGTACGATGGTGAAAACGCGATAGTACGATGATGAAAACACGACAGTACGATGATGAAAACGCGAAATCACGAAACTACGATGGTGAAAACGCGACAGTACGATGGTGAAAACACGATAGTTTATCGCGCTTTCATCATCGTAGTATCGTACTGTCGCGTTTTCATCATCGTACTTTCGCGTTTTCATCATCGTGCTTTCGCATTTTCACCATCGTAGTTTCGTGATTTCGCGTTTTCATCATCGTGCTATCGACTATCGCGTTTCAGATCAACACATTCATAGGCAATGGCCCTAACGGCATTCCGTAGGAACGTGCTGTCATGTTTGACTATGATACAAAAGAGAAAGAACACCAAAACACTCGGCAATCTGATTTATACTCGGGGGCTACGCCCCCTCGTACAAATCAGATAGCCTCGTGTTTCGGTGCTCTTTCTATTACTTGGACAATATACATGTATGCTTAAATCAAATGTTTTTATTGAATCTTTGCAACATTATAAACGGATTAAAGACATCTACCACGAATGTATAGTGTGTAATGGCCTTATGGGCACGCTCTTATGTCGAAATAGATATCTAACTTGAAAATGAAGTATAAAGTAACAACTTTCGCTTACCTCACATTCATTTCTAGGATTGGTAATATATCAACATGTATTGTTGTCAGATTGTTGTTTGTCAGGTATCTAAAATAACAACAATAGATAGCATTAAAATTCACAATCTAATTTAGGTTAATCTTGTTATAGCATGCACAACAAAAACAATAACAACAAAAAATTCACCTGCCTTTGACGTTTGTAATGATCTCTGTAAAATTAACAACAAATAAATTCATATTATACGATAAAATCAAAACTGAAACCGGATCCAACTTTTGTCGTCTATAGAATATGCTTGAATTATTTATACGGGAATTCAAAAAAACTCGGGTGTGAACAATACCGTCAAATACCATAAATAACAGTAATGTTTGATAGAAAATGTATCAAATCTCGTTTAAATATTCTAATGCTCACTGGCAGAATTTTGTTCACTCGATGTTTTATCACACCATAATAGATGATACCGGATATGTTAACTGGTTGATATGTTTTATATCCGAACACTAATGACGAATTAGAGAACGCCACTGGGAATGACAAATGATGTTATAACATTTCATAAAGCAGCCTTCAATAACGACAGACCCAAGAGGTCAATAAGTTCTCTCTCTCTCTATCTCTACTTAAAAGGAAATTGTAAATATTGATAAAATTCTTAATGCACTGAGATTATTCAACATGTATTGTATTTAGCTTTGTTGTTAATTTATTCCCATAAAACAATTAATAATTCCGTTATTTCCATTTTCAGGTGAATGGACAAATGGCATCGCCGTCATGGTCATTGAATTTGCGTACAATCCGAGGCTATCCAGCTCATTGGTTCTACTGACATGTGCCATCACGTGCCTGGCATAAGGCACTTAGTTCTTCCTCCAACAGTTAAAACTGAAGATTCGCTATATATATGACTTAAACACTTAAAACCCAACAGAGACCAATGACATGGGCAGTTTGCCACACAATTTTTAAAGGTCAAGAAAGTCAAGATATAAGCATTAACGTTAACAGTATTGTGTATATCATTCGGGAAAAGGCGAAACATATATATAATACCGATACAAACTAAGTGGTGCGCTGGTAATCCTTTTTGCAGATATGTTTGTTGTTTGCATAAATATGTTTCAACCGCTGTTAGCATTGCTTTTTGTCATATTTTAACATCATTTCACTATCATTTAACGTACATGTAGTTGACATAATGTGGAAGAAAATCATAACAATGTTTTATATTTATGTATGGTAATGTTATACTTATGTACTATATACTTATACACGTGTACTTATGTACAATAATATCATACTTATGTACTATAATATTATATTTATGTACTATATATTTATGTACTATAATATTATACTTATGTACTAAAATATTATACTTATGTACTATAATATTATATTTATGCACTATATATTTATGTACAATAATGTTATACTAATGTACTTTATACTTATATAAATAATACTATAATTATGTACTATATACTATTGAACAATAATATTATGATTATGTATTATATACTTACAGATATTCTAGGTTAGGTAAACGACTAAATACAGCTGGTTCTATCTCCTCTATCTCGTTATTGGAAAGCTCACTTTAAAAAGATACAGATGAGATTAAATACAAAATAATGTATCTTATATAAAAATAAAATATATAATTCCAAAAATTAATATTTTTAATATTTGCATAAAAGCCAAAATCTCAAAGTTCTTTTGAATAATTGTTGTTAATGTTACCAATAAAAATATTCAAGTTTTTCCGATGTCAGGTGTTGGGTTAAAGGGAACCCAGTCACAGAAATGCAAAATTTGCGATTTTTTCTGTTTTCCACAATTTTAAATTTTGGGTTTGAAAATGAAAATTTATATAGTAAATTTTGGAATTTTTAATTATGGGGAGGGGAAGAACAACCAAGATTGTAAAAGACGTATTTTGGTTAATTTTGTTTGGGGATTCCTTTCAATATTTGTTATACAAAAAACAATTCTTTAATGTTTTTTTTTAAATTTGACAATTGTTTTACTATCAACAGATCACTTGATATATATTTTGATCAAGTTTGCATAAATCAGGAGGCTAGCTTCTTTGATCTTAAACAAACGATTTTTAATAATATCATTTATATATAAATATATGATAAATTAATCACTTACAGATAGTACACCTCTGGTAAACAGTTGAACACAGATGGTTCGATCTCAACCAGATCGTTGTAGGAAAGGTCGCTTTAGACAATGAAAAATTCAAACGAAAAATATAAATAAAATTAATATAGTGAACGAAATATCAAACAGCGTTATAAGTAATATATACACTACAAAACTAGATAGTTCGGAAATGTGTTTGTCTATGTAACAAGTAAAACTGGTTGAATTCTGTAAAGAATACACGGCAAGTATATTTTTAATCTACATGGTTAATAATTATAGATATACATGGTGTATTTGTAAAGAAACTTACATTTCACCTAGATAGGTTAAATTGAAGAAGCTGTTTTCATGCAACCTTCTCAGATGGTTGTGACGAAGCGATCTGGAATTTGAGTAAAAGGAACAGATATGACTAACGTGTCGTGAAAGACATCCGCATATTAATTAAACATGTTATTGTAATAGATAAAATTTGGACAATATACATGTATGCTTAAATCAAATGTTTTCTTTGAATCTCTGAAAAGGTATCACGGAATAAAGACCTCTACTGCGAATGTTAAGTGTGTAATGGGCACGCTCTGATGTGATTTTAGACACGTCTTTATAATTTAGCAGACGACACATATTAATTCCTGTGTTTGTTTCTGGCACGGGTATATATAGGATTTCTAGAAATAACAAGAGCTGTCACGGGAGACAGCGAAGCTCGACTAATGAAATTCTGGACGCAGTTAGGAGGACAAAACTATGAAAGAAAAAATTGATAATAAGGAATAAGTATTTGAAGTTTGAGGCAGATACCTTTAAATCTAAAAAAGTTACCGTAAAAAATAACACTTTTCTAGTTTTGTTTGTTTGTTTGTTTCATTTTACGCCTTTTTCAACAGTATTTCAGTCATGTAGGCGGGTAGTTTCCTAACCATCGTTCCTGGAGAGTTACACCAGTACTAGACAACCTTCCTCCGCGCTAAACTACCAAAGCATCTCCCGGGGATCGAACCCACGCCAGAGAGGTAACTGGATTGGAAGTCATCGACTCTAACCCCTCGACCACGGAGGCGGTTTAACACTTTTCTAGTAAAATAATCTAAGTCTATGGCGAATTAATTGCTAGTGTTATGAACCTTGTCAAATAAGATGGGGATGATGATAAGGTACATACATTTGAAGTATGAAATTGACCCCTTAAGAAATAAAGAAGTAACAGTAAAAAATAATATTTTTAAGGAAAATTCTAAGTTCAAGGGGAGATAAATCTAAAAATATTGGTGCTAGAATTATGAACCTTGTCACATAAGATGTGAATGATGATAAGGTACATATATTTGAAGTATGAAATTTATGCATTAAGAAATAAAGAAGTAACAATAAAAATAGTATTTTTTAATGAAAATTCTAAGTTCAAGGGGAAATAAATCTGAAAATATTGGCGCTAGAGTTATGAACCTTGTCACATAAGATGTGGTTGATGATAAGAAACATATATTTGAAGTATGTAGTTGATACGATACCTTAAGAAATGACAAAGTTATATTGAAAAATATTTTACTGCACTAAAACGTTAATCGGAATCTGGACGTGGACGCGGACGCCGAGGCCGGGGCGAGTAGGACAGCTGTCCATATACTTCGTAAGGTCGAGCTAAAAACGTTTGCATAATTCTATGGTTACTGTTTACGTATTTTATGATCACTACTACATTATCACTGTTTCATGAAATCACTGTAATACTATGGTCACTGTTGAATTACTTCATGATCACTACATTATCACTGTTTACATGTAATCATTGTATTGTCACTGTTTTTATGATAACTGCGTAATCACTGTGTACTTTTTATAATTGAATGATCACTGTTTGTATGATTACTGCATAATCACTGTGTACTTTTTATCATTGAATGTTAACTGTTACGCTACTTAATGATCACAGCAATAATCATTGTTTAAATATCATCATTGTATGAGCACTGTTTAACTACTGTATTATCATATCATTGTATATTATACAAAACCATGTAGTTATCAAATAGTTATCATAAAGTGATATTGTATGATTTTGTAAGATAACAACATGTACATTGTATAATCACTGTAAACATACATTGATTACTTCTGATTACTACAATGTACATGAACTATGTGTGGTAAATGTAAGCTCTGTGTTAGATAACTATGTATCACTGTTAAGTAACCAAATAATGATTATAAATTGTAGCGATGTGATCACTTAATGATCACAATATGATAGTCATGATTACTTTATGATCACTGTTTGTTTACTGGTCAATTACTGTAACTGATCAATTATTGGTTATTCAAATGATAAATGGACTTTTGAAGTGGTTCGTGATTTATTTTTTTTTTTCAAACAAATACATGTATTAATATTTAATGCATTGGTTTTATTTTAAACTATCATAAAGCCATGCTATTCAATACAACATTGTTTTGAATGATTAAAACATTGTCGTGTTTTGTATAATAAACATATACGTCCATATTCCGTAAACTTTGGCCTCGTGTTTAAAAACATTAGCAAAAAAGTCAAGGCCGACCTTAACACGTGACTTTGACGCATGCGCAAATATAATTTCTGTGATAAGTACGGAACAATAACACGGTCTATATGTAATATCAGACTGAATACACAGACACTTAGGGTTTGGAGCTCAAAACGCCTTTAAAATCCAAATAAAATGCATATTTGTCAATCCCAGCACATGTACTGATCATATATATCAAAAAAACTTAATATAAGCCGTTTTGAAAAAAATCATATTTCAACAATTATAATAATACACAAGATAAAAATGTTCGCCGGAAAAAATCCGCACCCCTACCGTCATAATCACCATGTATTTTATTCCATTTCCAATATTTTCACATAATCCCTTTGCCCTCCATCGACCAAGAAGATATAATTCTTCACGATGATGGTCAATTTTAAACTTTCAACGGTAATATAAACAACGCAAACAGCCGAAATAAACATCAATTTTATCGCCGTTTTTTCCAACTTTCAAAATCTTTCGATAAATTCAATGGACCAGACGGCTATGAACGAAGCTATCCGATTATGTGGCCCCAGCTTTGCCGTGTGCAAATGCGCAGCGCTTTTAAGTTTGGGAACCACATAATCGGATAGCTTCGTTCATAGCCGTCTGGTCCATTGAATTTATCGAAAGTTTTTGTCCGTTGAAAAAAAAACGGCGAGAATATTGACTGTTTATTTCGGCTGTTGCGTTGTTTATATTACCGTTTTGAAGTTTTAAAATTGACCATCATCGTGAAGAATTATATCTTCTGTGTCGATGGACCAAAGGATTATGTGAAAATATTGGAAATGGATTAAAATACATGGTGATTATGACGGTAGGGGTGCGGATTTTTTCCGGCGAACATTTTTATCTTGTGTATTATTATAGATGTTGAAATATGATTTTTTTTCAAAACGGCATATATTAAGATTTTTTGATATATATGATCAGTACATGTGCTGGGATTGACAAATATGCATTTTATTTGGATTTTAAAGGCGTTTTGAGCTCCAAACCCCAAGCGTCTGTGGACGGTAGGGGTGCGGATTTTTTCCGGCGAACATTTTTATCTTGTGTATTATCATAGTTGTTGAAATATGATTTTTTTTTCAAAACGGCTTATATTAAGTTTTTTTTGATATATATGATCAGTACATGTGCTGGGATTGACAAATATGCATTTTATTTGGATTTTAAAGGCGTTTTGAGCTCCAAACCCCAAGTGTCTGTGACTGAATATACAATTGTTTAACTCCAAGTTATTCTATTTACCTATTACTCAGCTACTTACATGGTTTCAATATTCATTAACACCCCGAACGAATAAGCCTGAACCTCTGGAATGTAACTATGCCACATGTATCTGAAATTGAAGTTGGAAAAGTTATAAGGCCTTTTTTGAATAATACTGCACGTTTGTAACCTCGATTTTCATTGGATAATCGTGAAACTTATACACGACTGTTATATTAAATTGTATTAATATTCAGTTTTCCACAAATAAAGAAATTATGCAAATATAATTCATGTTTCGAGTCCCAAAGTTCCTAATGAAATCCATAGAGAGTTTGATATCATACCGATTCTATGGATTCATACAAAGCTTCAAAATCTGAATCTGTCTCGGTTAATTTAGCGCCTCGTCCAATATAGCTCGTACAAAGAATTCAGTATTGTACTCAACGTAAAATGTGAACAACATTGGTAAGCAATTTACCCGGAGAACGAAGTGAGGATTACATACCACACACGTATTTCTATTAAATATGTTTGGTCTGTGGACATATTGTCTTGTTTATTTTAAAAGGTAAAGGACAATTTAGCAATAATTTCATATTTGAATAAATCCGAGTATGAAATTTCTCTCATAATAACGCCTGTGGTATTTTGTAGTAAGA